TAAAAGTAGGGGTAGAAATTTTGACACACGTATTTTTAGACATGTATAGTGGCAACCACAGCTTCGTTTGCATCCAGTCATCCATCATTTGAAAAATATATTGTATGACCTCAACATTACGTTCATTATTTTATGAAACAGTAGCAGAGCTACTATTTACGATTGAGACAGAGGGATCACACGATCTCAGATGCTTTAATATAAGTTTTTACCAAATTTTCCTGATTTGTTTTACTTTCGGAACTATTGTTAGCACTGTCAGTCCTAAAATAAGCTGAACGTGCTCAACTAATTAAATAAATACTGTATTAGTCACTTTTCTGTTTAGTTTCTGAATTATTCGCTCATCAAATTTCACAACAAGGATCACGATAGAGATTGTTCATGAATGAACGAAATATCCCAGTGGTGCATTGATATTAAAATTGATAATTTCTGGTAAAATTTGCTAAGCCAGTTTGTTCAAAGTTTTCGAAAAAATCCTTTATGACATTCTATTTCTATTTCTGGTACTTTTTTACTCCAATTATGTAACAAATAAAATATTTATATAGATCTATCTGCTTAAGAATCATATCATGATGGTTGTAGGTTTATCTACTATCCCAAAAAACATTGGAAAAAAATCAAGCTTCGTGAAATTAATTATAGTGGGCGTCTTGAGATGTTGTTTTCAGTTCTGTATTTAGTTTGTTCTCAATTGATGAGGTGAACAGTAATAATTCAGTTGCAAATGATGTCATTTTAAGATGTAAATTTCTGTAAGAAAATTTTATGTGACGACCTCACCGATCGATTCGGGTAATGAGAGGATTATTGGATAAGGATAATGAGGAGTTGTGGAGAATGGGGCAAAGTTCAAGTTAGTTTGTGCGCAATACAATTTTCTCATATTTACGCCCTCTATATTATCTACTAATATATGTCACAGATAACATCGATTCATGTAATAAGTATTCATATGTTTTTCACGGTGTTTTAACATCATATATGCAACTTTTCACAATGGTGCAGTTTTTATTATATTGTTGAAATTCCAAGACATAAAAAAATTGTTGCTCTTAAACATTCAGCTCAAGGAAATAGTATTGATATTATTATAATAGCTATTAAGTAAGTTTGTCCAAAAGTTACATAGTCCTTCCGGTCTACACCAGCGCCACAGTCGAATGGTGACAGCATCGACGGTATTACCTTGACATCAAGTCGGAGGGGTGGTGATCCGGGTTTACGGTCCTGCAGCGGTATGGGGTTATCCGAACTCTGTCGACGAGAATGCTAGGCGTCGCGACGCCCAAATGCATCCCGCACCGTGACGCACATTCCGAAGTGGCTAACGAAACGTTCGTTAGTTTAGTCGAGCTCGAACGATCGAAGAGCTGATGTAACAGACCGATCTGGAAAATCTCGAATTGCGTCGTCCAACATAAAGCCTTTGTTTCACTTGCTTTGAATTCGCTTCATCGCACACTGAATTATCAGAGACACCGTAGTAAGCCATTTTCATTAAATTTCTATGATCAATAAGTTTATGTTTGTAAACTTTACAAAAGTTTATGTTCAAAAATAATCGCAATGCTTCAAATAAATGTATGCGGCTGCAGTTTCCAATCAGTTGAGGCACCATGGGCAGTCTGAAACAATCTTGATTGTCAGCAAAGATTGTCAAGAAAAAATTTTGATTCTTCAACCTCCGACAACGAAAAATTTGTTAGCAATGCCGATTAAACCAAGGTAAAACGTAAAATACAAAAAATCATAATAGTAAATCATCAAATCATTGATTGTGATAGTACGACAATTAGAAATATAGAATATGTTTTTAGTTGATTATTGAGGCGGTTTGCTGGCTTTGTCCAACAGGTTACTGGCTTGGATGCAGTAAAATGGTTTTCATTTCAATTTTTAATTCCTAACATAACCTAACATAGATAGAAAGTTTAAAAATTTTGAAACATGCTTACTTTTACCTTATCTTACTTTAAATAAATTACTTGAAAATTAACTGTCTTCTGCATTTTTAGAAGTTTAATCATTTATCATTTTGAGATCAAGATAAAAAATTTCTTAGAATTTGGCGAAGTCTCCAAAGGTCAGCGTACATGTTACAATACACTTTCTGTTAGAAATGTAGGATTTTAGTATAACAACGGAGATAGATTATAGTTTGATTGCTTTTAAACTTCTGAAGAATTCAGCAACACTTAAAAAAACATGCAGTTTCAGATAGTTCAACCCTCATTACCATAAAATGCGGCAATATCAATTGAAAGTTCAAATCAAAATCGGAAAATGTAAATACCATATTTCTTTATATTCTAATAATTATTATTATTGTTATTATTATTATTACTATTATTATTACTATTATTATTATTATTATTATTATTATTATTATTATTATTATTATTAATATTATTATTATTATTGTTTTTATTATGCAAAAAGCAAGGACTTTGACAATTTAAAAATTCACCCAACCTTTTTTATACAAATGGATATCCATCTAAACAATAAAGAAATATTGGCAGTCCTGATACAAGCCATATGAATATTAAAAAAAAATTGTAATTAAGGATAAATCGCTTAAAAAATCTACTAGTAATTTGTTGATCAATTTCGATGCTATGTATGAAAAAGATATTTGAAATATTACTGTGTTATGGCGAGGTTAAACTAGTAACTGTTTTTGTCTTGTATTAGTACTCCCTAAAATATACAAGCTTTTTAGACAAATAATAAGGTGATTGGTTTTTACTGTTTTGTATGAAAGCGTGAAGGTATCTCAAAGATTTAAGCTTAAGACGTTTCTGTCTGAGTATAACGTGACTGATTCTGTTCATATTTTCTAATATTGTAAAAAAATCTGAAGCAAGCATTCTGAACTGTCGCATGTTAACTTCAGATTTAATATTGCCATCGACTTATTAGCATTAACCAAAAGGTTATGAGCTGAAGATATATCGAATAGAGAATTTATGTTCTCGTTAATCTTTATAGTTGCATCAAATCTTCATTTGCTTGATAAGAGTAAAGCAGTTGAGGGTAGTCAGCGTAATTATTAAGTGATAAATGTTTCCAAAGGAGGAAAGTCAGAAATACCCTTTCTATGACACAGGGTACCCCCTGTCCCATCTGTACCTAGTACCCAACGAAAAGTGAACGCAAATTACAACGAGGAGCTCGCGTCCGAGAGCCTGAGATGGATCGGCAGGGTGACGGGCGACCACGTCAACACCCCCGGTGACATGGAAAACTTACTAGGTACTAGATTTACTATTGTCGTAGACAATCTGTTGCGATATTCTGTCAATGTAAAAGATAATTAATTTAGAAGACCAAAAGAAAAGACATTTTGACAAAGATTTCGGTATCAACAGTATCAAAAACTCTACTGTAATCCAACAGAATAAAACAAGAGACTGTATTTTAATCACTCTGATAAAGCAAAACTTTAGTTCTTTTTGACTTCTTTTTACGAAATCCGGACTGCGTATCCGAGACAATCGTGTTCTTGAACAAGAAGTCACTCATATGTGCATGTATATTTGTTTCTAACACCCTTGATTGAATGGGTAAGATACTAACTGGCCTTAACACTGATATTGAAGCTGTTAATCTAATTTAATTATTTATTGTGTGTTTTTGATTTGACTTTCGATGATTACCTCCCTTTTTTTTATTTTCAAAGACATTTGATGTTATTGATTTTAATTGACTCTTAAATAAACTTGATAGATGTGGACTGAGTTGTAATAGTATCGGATGGATCAATTTTTTCTGTACCAACGGTAACAAAAAATTCTTCTGAAGGGAAATAGCTCGGACCATATTTCTGGGTCATGATCTATTTGATCTGACGTTCCTAATTAAATAGATTACATTATTTTTTAAGTTTAAATATTAATAATTATGTTTTGCTATTCGCATACTATACGGCTGTATTGTTCAGATTGTCTGCGGAGGCTGTCAGCACTATGTGGGTCTACTGCAACAACAGCCGTTTAATATCGAACAGAAGCAGAAGTGAGCTGATGTATTTTTTGTTGGACGATCTAAATATAACCTTTGCTAGTTAGGATACATAACGAAACTGTTGAACTAGAAACGATCGTCAAGAGTCTGAAGTTCAAATTCCTACCAATAATAAAAGCGATAATAAAATTAAAGAAATCAGCGTCTTATGCAACAGACATACTTCATAGTACATTTTAAGGTCGAAAATGCATTCAAAAAATTGAAATTTTCAAAGCAAATAACTTTCTTTTCAATGCAGCACAGACTTTATTGCTCTCATTTGCTCTGTTGTGATTATTAATTTTTATGTTTTCTGTATATATTGATTTGTATGACTTTACTATTGGCTTGCTTTTTTTCTAATTTTCTGATATTTCTTGTCGCAGTCAATGGAAATAAAAGACTTGCTTGGTCGGATGGCTACCAAATCTAAAAACGGCGACTATTAATTTCAGGACTGCTTTTTGTCCTTGCTAACCGCAATCCTCAGAACAACTGACTTTAACTCAACGTTTAGCTATTCCCAAACCCACTTTCATATCTGCAGAGACCATCAGGAAAACAAAGGAGGACCGGGGCGATCGTAAACCTCCCCCTTAAACTTCCTTAAGCCCCCTGAGCCCCTTATTTTAAAGGACTTAAAGATGGCGGCTGCAGCGGCAAAAAGCCGCCCAGTTGGCTCGTAAAAGCTGCAGCGTGCAAAATGCGTTTTCGCGTGATTCTAAAGTAACAGACGGGGCAAACACTGAGTCGCGAAAATTGATGGGCGAGCATTGCCGAGGATATGTGACAGCCACTTCATTTCTTCTATTTCCTATTTTATTAGTTTCTATGAGCAGCGCAGAGTTCGTCAAGCAGTATAGCGATTCAAAAGCCTCCTACCCCAGGTAACTAACTACCAATAATAACAACTAGTAAAGAATATATTTTATTTTTAGAAAGATTAAGGGAAAAAATTCAAAAACTAACAAAGATCACAACATTCTTTTCTCTAAAATACACACATATACTCCAAAGAATTTCTATTCATTCTGTCACATAAAGTGAAGCTATTATATTTGCTTTACAATGGGCTTTACAACGGCGAAAATTGTTTTTATACAAAAATTTTGTAGACCTTGGCAGTGTTTTTGTCAACGTCGCCTTTAAAGAAAACAAACACTTTCTAATTTGTCAGATGACTGCTAGAATTGCCTCAATGAGCTTTAATAACTAGAAGAAATTATTAGTTATCAATTTTGCATCAATTTTGTTCGAGGTTTTCCTTTTCGTTTCTCTATTGAGTGAGGGAGGGAATTTTTAAAAAATATGTTTCGCAATTACCTTGGACTTTCTAAAAAACATTACTACCCTTGGGAAAAGTTATATTTTGAAGAAGACACAATATTCATACTAAAATCAAAAAATCGTAAATTAACAATTAACCAACAAGAATTCAAAATGTATTTTGTTTAACGCAATGCAAACGTATAAAGCAGTTTACAAAACTCAATGAATAATAAAGAACTAAGAATGAACAAATAATCGTACTCTAACTTTCTGCTCCTAACTTAACTTAATTGTAAGTTGAAAATGCAAATGCGCAGGCGATTTACTAATAGACCCATTCGTGGCGCTATTTCAACACGCAGGAAAGGTCGTTAAAATGACAATTGACAATATGTAAATATCAAAATGCCAAAATTGATTAGAAAACAGCGAATGTATTGAGCAATAATTTAATTGTTGAATACTTCTTATACATATATTTTCTATGCTATAAACCGATCACAATACACAACAGTACACCAAATCCTGTCGAAACTTGGTATGAATAAAGTGCGAGTGAAAACAAATATGGCAGTTAAAACATATTTTACACGCCATCTTCACATCGAATGCCTTCGTTTTCAAAAGAAGAAATTTCCAAAGTTTCTCTGATCTTAAATTTTACAGTTTCTATGAATTGTGACAACTCTTTCCTTGCTTCCCAGAAATTCAGGAGGATTTATAATTAAACATTAATAATAGTAAATATCTATAAGGAAATTAAAATTTGAAGAAAGGTCATATTTTATAATTGGCTAGTTGAAAAAGAGAAAATTAAAATTCTAAGAAGAAAAATAATAATCTTTCAAAGAGAAGCTTCCCGAGGATATAATATAAATTTGAATTGAAATAATACAAATTGCAAGTTAACACAACGCAAAACCCATCATCAAAGTGCTTTGCCGCTTTTAAAAGTGGTTATTTAAATTATTCGCCGTTAACCAATACGTAATAAGATTTTTGTAAAATAAAGCAGTCCAAAGTCAACATGTTTTTCTGCATGTCGTTGATGTAGCTAATTAAAGTCACCAAATTTGTAAAGAGTCTCACAATTCTAGCCACAATAAAAACACTTTGGATAAATCAAATAAGGAACATTTTCAATCAATCCACACTTTTGGTTGGTGGTTATAAATATTGTAATTGAACGGTGGAATACAGGTGCTCATAATTAGCATTAAAAGGGATTACCCACGAAACATTTACGATGGAAATTTAGTGCAAAAAAAGCGTAACAAAAAGAACAGCAGCGTGTTGTTTACACCGAATGTATCCGCGGGCCTATCGCTATATTTAGCCGGTTGAGGATTTTTTTACCGTGAAACTTCAAGAGTGTGGCAATCGTCATCATACGAGGATCGATCATACATTTTCAATCAAACAAGTTGGTGCATTTAAACTGTTCTTCATAAAAGCAAAGTTGGGCCTGGCGTTCTATTACTCGCGTCGCTCCCGGCACCTCTGTTGCTGCAGTGGTGAAGCGGAATCCGTACACGGTGGCTTTTACTTTTTGGTCAATTGGTTTTTGAAGTTAGATATTGGGTGCGCGCAAAAAATTTGTTCTACTCCCTTCTGCAAAATACCTAATTATACACAAATCTAGCTTGCGGAAAGTATTATTTTACCACTTGAGTTTCGTTTCCCATGGATCCGAGCCACTTCGAACATTTCCGGGATATTACTACAAGGGTTTGGAAGCGATCGGATGGGTTCGGAAATATTAAAGCACGGCTTGAATTTTGACGTTTGTCATGTCAGTGAATATATTCGTATGGTTTTACAAAAATGTACCTAAAAACTAACTGTCGCAGAAAAAGTATAGTATGCAACACATTTGGTAAACTTTTTCAGTCACTCGCTTATTAATCACTGCCAAATAAACTCGTGACTCAAATGCTGTTTACCATACTTGTTGCGTAAAATTCTATAGCGTATTTCGTTGACCCATGTGATAAATTTCAATTGTCTGCGCTTTACTACAGCGTTGATGGCCGTATTACAAAACGATAGATAAGTATGGCCTCCTTGAATCATTTTTAACGGTATAATTTGTTTTAATAATTAAATTAATTCTACATTTTAAACACGTATTTGTTAGAGAAACGTATATATTATTGAAGGTATTGAAATCGCCTCGATGCTCCTCTGAAAAAGTAAGAAGCTGCATGATGGAGAAGATATAAGGTCACATGGTTACATGGATACTGTGGTCTGGAGCAAAACGAAAAAGCAAACCTCTTGAAGCAGAGGAAGCTCTCCAACAAAACATTAATAGAATATCCCGCTCAACTGACCTGACACGCTGTTAGGCAGGAGCAGGGCAAACCTAAGAACTCTGCAACTACAAAGATTATACATATCCAAAATCAGCATTTCGGACGATAGTGAGTGCAGAAGAATGAGGAAAGGACATAGGGCAGAGAGGAAAGATTAGTTACTGAAAACTAGGGGCTGACTTTCTGGAACTTAACAATTTAGCTTCCAGTATGTAAAAACATCAATGGTCCTTCAGTGGCTGTTAACTCCTAAAGATTATAAAGCGCAGTGGTAGCTGTCTAACCAAAAAGTTGTGATTAGACATTGTTCTTGTATTTGGTTTTATTCACCCCTTCATTCCCAATTTTTAGGTAGATCATTACGTATTGCTAATTATTAAGGTAAAATAATACTATGGAACTGAAAGTTGGTATATTTTTTCTAAAACCGCGTATATTATTCGCACAAAACACATCCATCTTCGACGCATTTTCGACCAACTGCAAGTTTACTGTAGCGACAACGCGTTGCGATGTTGCCAGTATTTTCTCTATTTTCAAATATAATTTGGAAGTCGTTTGTTTCTTAGTTATTTACTTAATCATCGTTTTTTTTTAATTTGACTCGAGGACCAATGCATAAAATAAATTTATACACTTCTTTTTGATAGCTGATGTATAATATATAATTTATCACTTTTAAATATTCCTTCTCTGGACATACTCCTCAAACTTGTTTTATTCTTCGATGTTGTTTTTGATGTATCTCGATTTATCTTTGACTTATCTGAAGTTTGATGTTAATCTGATGTAATCTTACTTACCCCATAAAAGTTTAATGACTTGAAGATGCACTCGGTGAAAATTCCACTCCATAGAAAATAAACACAGTAAACTTATTGACTTAGAACTTGCTAGTAGTGGTCGCCAGAGAGAATGATGATAAACCATTCCAAGTCTTGGCCAAAGAATTGGCAACACTGAGTTCTAATACCGTCGCGCCGTTGGACAACCTTGCATAAAAAATTCGCAAAATAGAAACCCGCTCTGAAATTATTTCCTTCGTCGCGTCATTTCTAACGGCCACGCAACCGCCGAAATTTTTTTGCCGTCTGGTAGTTTTTTGAGGGGGGGACGGGCCCCTTCCTGCCTCGCGTCCCTCCTTGTTACATGGTTAGAATCAAGGTTAACAATCGCATTTTATTGCGACCGATTCTGCCATGCGATATTGCCAGGTCTGTAGTAAATTACGTTTCGGGCACATTCTTTTGTTCCAAAGGTCACGCACCCAAAGTTTCATTTCGTTCGAATTTGATTTTGGTAAACCTCAAAAATATAAATTTACAAATTTAGTTCCACGCAGATGTCATAACCATGGAAAAGCCGAGTGGTACTATCACTAGCAGCGTTGGTCTCATAGAACTATTGCATAGGAACCATGAAATGAATACTGCTAAGTCAGCTATGACATTCTCATACAGAAAAGAATAATCGCCCGCGCTTGCCCATAAAGTTCACATATTTGAACTTACTGGTTGAATGCGAGTTTTGAAATGACTCGCGCATGCGCATATTGAATATTTATTTTCATTTTTTGTTATATTGGTTCAGAAGTATTATCAGCATAAGCAAAGCTGCTATATATCTGCTAGCTGTTGTCTATAAAAACAATGCAAAGAAATATGGTAACTTGGTGTGGTTTCCGGTCGTCAGAAAAAAATCAAAAAATTGTTTAGGAATTGACAAATCAGACCAAAAGCAAGATCCATGCCTCTTCGAGACGTAACCACGTGCCTAGCGATCTTGTTGATGTTTTAATAATGGACAATACAATTGTTATTTTGATGGCTCTCATCTGATAATTGGAATCGTGATTTTTTTTTCAATAGTAAATCCGGCAACAGCGGACCTCGCAGACCAGGGGATTGTTGATGTTTGCCCGGGCGTTGTTATTATTAATGTTTATTAATGCCGCCTATAAAAAAACAAGTCGGTGGTCGTGATCTTGGCAACAAAGAGCGCATACAAAAATATAGACGAACGCAGAATAGATGGAGAAATATTGTGAAATCAGGAAGGAAACCCCATTTTAAAAAAAAACAGAAGAAGATATTTTGCTGTTTGAGGGTATAATATTACCATCAATACCTGTTAATCACCTTATGGTTTTTAATATAGTTATGGTTAGTTGAAATTGAAGCAGAGTCAGTAATGACGGCATAATCAAATAAATATATCTTGCACACCATAGGCTTCAAAATAAATATCAAATTCAATATCAACCTTTCATAATATTAGAAAATTAATTTCTTACTTACTGTAGATTTGAATTACTTTAACTTATACATATAAATCAATAAAAAAAAGCAAGAAAGTATATTTAGATTTTTTATTATTATTAGCGTCAAAAAATATTCACGATTCATGGTGTCATTCGATACAGGTAGAGACCAGTAGGGTTATAATTGCTAAAATTCAAGGTTGAAACTGTTTCAAAACGCTTAAAAAAACTGAGTGCTGGTTGACTGACTGAACTGCTCTAAAATCGTCTATCAAATCGTGTTTTTAAATTTGGTTCAATCTAGCAGTAAAATTCGGGAAAATTGGACTAGTGCTCATGAAATATGTAAGTCCAGAAAATTTGATGGCTTACTAGAAACACTCGGTCATCAACACGAGATCTTTTGAGAAGAGAGAAGCTCACTTTTTATTTACGTGCTTTGAACAGAAAATATTTAATGATACCTGCATTAGCGGCGATGAACAATATTTTAAGGATTGGTGAGTATCTGGAAAACGAGTTACACGAGCTCAAAAAGTTGTCAGAGCTCAAAATAATGTCCGAATTTTTTTCATTCTGCATTCTTCGCCGACATAGACGGCGGATTCGGCAGGACGTGGTTCCTGTTCTGCTACTGGCGGATGATATTAGTTACGTAATTTTGAAGGTCAGCGATCGGACCGACGTAGAAGAGAAGTCCACACGTATTTCGATGGTCAGTTTTCTTAGCCGCGATCATGGATGAGTCAGACTTCTTCGGCAATTCTTCGAAAGATAACAGAACTGTCCTTCGTCATGGGGCAATAGCAATGACGATAATTGAAAAAGACGATTCTATACCAACGCTAGCAATTCTGGTAAACACTTAAGCTAGTTATCCTGTTTGAAAATACAACGCAAAACGCTATAGATGATAGGTACTGTTATACAGATCTGTGATTTGTGAAATTCCTTCTTTGATTCACGCATTTATTATTTCTAGTTTTTTCATTCCTTTTCTTAGATATGCAATCCTCAATAATACAAGATATTGCTTTAGCGGATGTGCCAAATTGTGCGTTTTATTTTCTTCTCGTCCACGTTTTATCCAAAAGTAATATGGGGTCTATAAAAGTGCCAGTAATAGTTCATTTGCAAGTGTCTGAAGTTATTAAGTGTAGTTAGGTGAATATTTAGAAATTCTGAAAAAGTTTTTTATTCAAATTATAAGGAAATGATTATTTCAAAAAAATCTGTATAATCAAACATAATGATAATGTAAATACGTAAAAAGAGTAAACAAACGCTCTTGTTCTTATGTTCAAAAGTTTTTATAAATTTTATAGGAAAAGGTTTGCTGTCGGTGTGTTTAACTTTTAAGTTGCATTTAAATATTAATGCAACTAAACAATTTTGTGATTGTGCAATAAACGTAGCTAATTTATCTGATGAAGCTACTGTTAAGACCCTTTAAATTTCATTGTACATGGAAAATCAGCTTAAATCACTGAAACTGAAAAACTGAAAAAAAGGCCTTATTCGTTAAGCAACTAACGCTATATTTATTAAAGGTAGAAAACGATCTAAAATTTCTAAAGTCATGTTAGCTGCATTAAGAATGGTGGACAGCAAGTCAAAAATTGGTTCTGAAAATAAAGTAGATGTCGATTGCGTTTAATACAAATGGAACGCCTCTGATATATCGACCTCATTCAGACAAAATTCGTGGAATGTCATGCGATAGTTGACGGAGACAACCCGTAATTTTGCTTAAGCTAGGTCTGATGTTAGACATGTGCCTTCTTGGAAAAATATTCTACAACCTTTAGCAAGCTAAACCTTAAACCACAAATTTTAATAATACAGCTGCGGAACATATCGGAAGCGAAATTATGGACCGCTTGACTATTGAAGGGCCAAGTTGAACTAAGTCTAAAATTTGTAGTTTATACTATAATGGGCGTTTTACCCTTGGTCTGATCTTACCTTGAAATAATAATGTTTATTTTCTTTTCATTTTAAATAAAAGAAACAAAGTAAATATAAACTATAAAAACAAATTTACAAAAACATACAAATAATACAAATTATATACTTAATTGATAAGGTAGCACATTGAGATTATCTCTAATTTCTTTACCATTTCTTGCCAACAAATTCTGCTCTACGCTAAAATACTCAATTATACATTGTACAGAAATTATGAAACATTGATTGCTTTGATATTTAAGTGGTGAATACACCACAAAATAAAACCATCGGAGGTTGTACGCAGGGATTTCACTGGCAAAAGCGCCAATTTAAAATGGTAACGACATTTTTGGCAATGCAAGCGTGTAAATACCCATGATTTGGCAACTACTATTAAAGCACACCAGTGCTGGCCTCCTTAATGGTCAACTTCATGGTTGTCTCTACCCAAAGCGTCCGTTAGTAATGAAGTCTTCGGAATTAATTTAATATATACTATTCAAATAATAACATACAGTGATTCATCTGTTTGAAACTTTGTTTAATTAAGTGAATTGAAAACAATGGCAGTTGGGAGTTCTTTTAGTTTTAAATTCCATAGCAAAATATAGCTTATGACAAGCAGCAAGATTTAACAATCCAAAGTTACCGTGAGAATTTGCCAACCAATTGCAATAACCCAACATTCTAAATTCCTGCAATTGTTTACAAACCCATGCTCAATGACGGATGATTCCATGTATTATTTGCTTTCAAACTCCTTCTACGTCTTGAAGGAGACAAAATCTTTCCGGCTAATGACGTAAAAAATCGACCGTTTGCTTAATTAAACGGAGAGGCGTAGTTCTCTTACACCGACTAACGTTGCTTATAAAATAACCGTTTAAAATTCATAATAACTGCTTCATAACGATAATTGTAAAAAATGATTGCAATTTTTATTGAAAATAGAGCAGAAAAAATTAAGCGAAACGACAAAATCGGAATATGTCAAGGAAAAGGGTACTGTATATTTACTTGCCATTCTATTTTTTATATTATAATCTTTGCTGTTATAATTCTTTTTCTACGTATAATAGAACTCAGATATCTATTTGCTGACTTTAACGCATTCTTCAGGGAATCTACTGTTGTATTTAGACCAGAAAGGAGATGGCATCGTTATTTTTAATTTCCTGTTTAAGCAAGTGTGTTCTATTAGAAGCTTTTAATTTTTATCTATGCTCTGCATACGTTTAATTGGGTGGGTTATGTAGGTCGTTGTCATTAATGTACAGAAAATATTTCTTTGCCAAAAGGAGGACCAATAATATCAACTAAATGTGCTATTTATATTGCAGCTATATATGTAGACCGTTTTCTTTTATTATAGAACCCAAATATTTCGAGATTGAATTATAAATTGATTTTAATTTAATTCAATACACCTTTTTCGGTAAATCTTCTCTCATTGTGATCGTTATGTGAGTAGCTACATTGATCAATATTCTCGTTGAAATATAGAGCTTCCACATCAAATTTTGTTGCATATTACAAGATGTAATTATATATATGGCGGTTTTCAAGTCGTGACCATAAGTAGTCAGAATCTTTGAAAAAAATGAAATCACTCGTATATGGGAAAGTTCAAGCTGTATAGATAGATGGATGGATCGGCAATTAAACATTTATTCTATTAAAACGAATATACAAATATTTTACATTTGTTCATTAACAGCAAGAATGACAAACAAACAAAGATCACTTACCTGCTTAACACAGTGCTCTCATAATTCAGTAAAATTAATCAATTAATTGATATATTCGATGTCATGAATGGAGACTCATTCCATT